TTCGCACTGCTCTCAAAGGCGACAGTCATCGCCACTCTATTGTTTTCTTTTTTCAACCCTGTACTAACAACAACTTCGCACTGCTCTCAAAGGCGACAGTCATCGCCACTCTATTGTTTTCTTTTTTCAACCCTGTACTAACAACAACTTCGCACTGCTCTCAAAGGCGACAGTCATTGCCACTCTATTGTTTTCTTTTTTCAACCCTGTACTAACAACAACTTCGCACTGCTCTCAAAGGCGACAGTCATCGCCACTCTATTGTTTTCTTTTTTCAACCCTGTACTAACAACAACTTCGCACTGCGTTCAAAGGCGACAGTCATCGCCACTCTATTGTTTTCTTTTTTCAACCCTGTACTAACAACAACTTCGCACTGCTCTCAAAGGCGACAGTCATCGCCACTCTATTGTTTTCTTTTTTCAACCCTGTACCAACAACAACTTCGCACCACTTTCAAAGTCGACAATACCAATCATACTATCTTTCTTATTTTATCACTACTGAAAAATAAAAATAAAAATAATAACCATATAATCAAACTTCAGCACTCGGAACCCATATACTCTATTCTTTTATATCTGAAGTGACATATACTACTATTCTCAGAACTGTCTTTTTACTTTCGCATGCACATGATATCTATATACTTATACCTTCAACACCTTCTTCAATGAAAATGACCCCATCCTATCACACATAATTTTTAAAAATTCTTACTTTTAGTATATCTTTAAATATCCAGTTCTAGACCAAACAGCCATTGTCTAACACAAAGTCCTGCCATAGTAATCTCTCTTTATAGATGCACAACATAATCCTCAAACCTATATTTTAAAAAAAAAAAAAGAAACATATATTTCTTATACTCTGTACTCTCATTCTTCTTGTCCCTTTCACTTCAAACAAATTAACTTGGTCTCTCCCTACTCGCATATCTTATTTATTTTAATATCTTTAAATAACTAAAATAAAATATGATTTATTATTTATTATATGTTTATATAGGTTATGAATTTATTATAAGAGAGATGTGTGTGTGGGTAGTCGATGTGTGAGTAGTCGATGTGTGAGTAGTCGATGTGTGAGTAGTCGATGTGTGGGTAGTCGGTGTGTGGGTAGTTGAGATAGATATATTTAAAGTGTGTGTATGCAGCCGAGGCATATTTGTGTCTGTAGTTGAGGTGTGAGAGAAAAGGGGGCGTTGTGGGTGGGGGGTGCCATAACCAGTGGTCATATGGGAGAGGAAAAGTTTATTTTCTAACAAATCGCAAAAACTATAATCATTTATAGTTTTGAGGTAATGCATTTGGTAATCCAAAGGTTTCTCTAAAGTAATAAGGTAAAGATAAAGTTTTCGCATCCGTAGTGCGGATGCGATGGTCATGCATGAAATAACAGGTTTATCGTAAAAAAAAAGCCTGGGTAACCGCCCAAGTAAGTTTGTTTGTTTTGTCTAAAAAAAGTATATAATCATATGAAAATCAAAATAAACCAACCAAAAATAGAAAGCAAAGCACTTTGATACTTTATACACGATACTCTACAGTTAACTAATAGCTTGTGTTTTTTGGTTTATATCTTTGTTCGTGCAAATAATCAAGCCTTTTGATATTTCATATTAATATATTAGTATATATAATGAATTCCAATATCTTATTTTTATCTAATTCCAAAAGGCTTTATTTTAATAATGAAAAAGGCTGGTACTATTATATTCAATAATTATATATTTCTTTGCGATTTTTTAAATAGTAACTCGACTGAAATATGTCTATAGCTTGTATCATTTATTTCCTATTCAATTTTTCAAATATACTCTTATTTAAAACTATTTAAACAGCAACTTAAACAAATAGATATCTTTGGCTTGTACCATATACTTCTCAAGCAGTTTATTAAATAGTTCTGTGCAAGAATATATATATTTCGGCTGCAAAAGATTTTGATTAAAATTAAATCCGATCCGAGCTATAAGCAACAATATGGGGTTTAATACATCTTTATAACAGTTTGATCCACTGGATATTTATGGATCAATTAACACTCTACTTCCTTTAATTCGCTTTATCTCTTATTTTCTTTTTATTTATAAGTCTAATCCAAGTTGATATATATCTATATATTATCAAGTTATTTTAAAATGAATTGTGTTCATATACTAAAAGTTACTCTAGGACTATATATATATAATCTGTTAGTATATTTCAGATGAGCTCTTACACCTACCTTTTTTCCCTCTTTAATACACACGCACACACTTGGGGATCTGTCTACCAGTCAATTGGCTGCACTGGTACAATATATACGATATTGTCTATTTCTTTTTATATCTTTTTACAAACTAAGGGCTCTAATCGACAATTCGGACAGCACGCACTTTTTTGTAAACTGGTATTACTGATCGGTGGTGCAGACACCCTTTGTGTACCCACAAGTGAAAGAATCATAGCAGGGTCCATTGACAGGGATACTGTTACCCATACGAAGGTTTAAAGACCGTATGGTACTCACTTACAATCGTTGAGAGAGGACTGTGTATCCAAAACCCCTTCACTGTGCTGTAACCAAAACAAAAAAAAATCTTTTTAACGATGGCTTGAATCTTCTTTCGACATTCCGCCATCCCAGTCGAGGATCTTCATTCCTGTTGGGGATCGTCATTCATATTGTATTGCAACTCAAAGTGGACCGAAAGCGACGCAATACGAAAAGGAAGCGCACTCTTTTGAAAAATAAAATAAAAAATGAAATACTCTTTATTTTATCTTTTTGACGACTGTTCACTGTATATGCGGCTCTAACAAAAAATAAGCCCTTGGTCAAACCTTCGTGTCCCTATAAGCTTCGCACTGCTTTCAAAGGCGACAGTCATCGCCACTCTATTCTTTTCTCTTTTCAACCATGTACCAACAACAACTTCGCACTGCGTTCAAAGGCGACAGTCATCGCCACTCTATTCTTTTCTTTTTTCAACCATGTACTAACAACAACTTCGCACTGCGTTCAAAGGCGACAGTCATCGCCACTCTATTCTTTTCTTTTTTCAACCCTGTACCAACAACAACTTCGCACTGCGTTCAAAGTCGACAATACCAATCATACTATCTTTCTTATTTTATCACTACTGAAAAATAAAAATAAAAATAATAACCATATAATCAAACTTCAGCACTCGGAACCCATATACTCTGTTCTTTTATATCTGAAGTGACATATACTACTATTCTCAGAACTGTCTTTTTACTTTCGCATGCACATGATATCTATATACTTATACCTTCAACACCTTCTTCAATGAAAATGACCCCATCCTATCACACATAATTTTTAAAAATTCTTACTTTTAGTATATCTTTAAATATCCAGTTCTAGACCAAACAGTCATTGTCTAACACAAAGTCCTGCCATAGTAATCTCTCTTTATAGATGCACAACATAATCCTCAAACCTATATTTTTAAAAAAAAGAAACATATATTTCTTATACTCTGTACTCTCATTCTTCTTGTCCCTTTCACTTCAAACAAATTAACTTGGTCTCTCCCTACTCGCATATCTTATTTATTTTAATATCTTTAAATAACTAAAATAAAATATGATTTATTATTTATTATATGTTTATATAGGTTATGAATTTATTATAAGAGAGATGTGTGTGTGGGTAGTCGATGTGTGAGTAGTCGATGTGTGAATAGTCGATGTGTGAATAGTCGATGTGTGAGTAGTCGATGTGTGAGTAGTTGATGTGTGAGTAGTCGATGTGTGGGTAGTTGAGGTAGATATATTTAAAGTGTGTGTATGCAGCCGAGGCATATTTGTGTCTGTAGTTGAGGTGTGAGAGAAAAGGGGGCGTTGTGGGTGGGGGGTGCCATAACCAGTGGTCATATGGGAGAGGAAAAGTTTATTTTCTAACAAATCGCAAAAACTATAATCATTTATAGTTTTGAGGTAATGCATTTGGTAATCCAAAGGTTTCTCTAAAGTAATAAGGTAAAGATAAAGTTTTCGCATCCGTAGTGCGGATGCGATGGTCATGCATGAAATAACAGGTTTATCGTAAAAAAAAAGCCTGGGTAACCGCCCAAGTAAGTTTGTTTGTTTTGTCTAAAAAAAGTATAGAATCATATGAAAATCAAAATAAACCAACCAAAAATAGAAAGCAAAGCACTTTGATACTTTATACACGATACTCTACAGTTAACTAATAGCTTGTGTTTTTTGGTTTATATCTTTGTTCGTGCAAATAATCAAGCCTTTTGATATTTCATATTAATATATTAGTATATATAATGAATTCCAATATCTTATTTTTATCTAATTCCAAAAGGCTTTATTTTAATAATGAAAAAGGCTGGTACTATTATATTCAATAATTATATATTTCTTTGCGATTTTTTAAATAGTAACTCGACTGAAATATGTCTATAGCTTGTATCATTTATTTCCTATTCAATTTTTCAAATATACTCTTATTTAAAACTATTTAAACAGCAACTTAAACAAATAGATATCTTTGGCTTGTACCATATACTTCTCAAGCAGTTTATTAAATAGTTCTGTGCAAGAATATATATATTTCGGCTGCAAAAGATTTTGATTAAAATTAAATCCGATCCGAGCTATAAGCAACAATATGGGGTTTAATACATCTTTATAACAGTTTGATCCACTGGATATTTATGGATCAATTAACACTCTACTTCCTTTAATTCGCTTTATCTCTTATTTTCTTTTTATTTATAAGTCTAATCCAAGTTGATATATATCTATATATTATCAAGTTATTTTAAAATGAATTGTGTTCATATACTAAAAGTTACTCTAGGACTATATATATATAATCTGTTAGTATATTTCAGATGAGCTCTTACACCTACCTTTTTTCCCTCTTTAATACACACGCACACACTTGGGGATCTGTCTACCAGTCAATTGGCTGCACTGGTACAATATATACGATATTGTCTATTTCTTTTTATATCTTTTTACAAACTAAGGGCTCTAATCGACAATTCGGACAGCACGCACTTTTTTGTAAACTGGTATTACTGATCGGTGGTGCAGACACCCTTTGTGTACCCACAAGTGAAAGAATCATAGCAGGGTCCATTGACAGGGATACTGTTACCCATACGAAGGTTTAAAGACCGTATGGTACTCACTTACAATCGTTGAGAGAGGACTGTGTATCCAAAACCCCTTCACTGTGCTGTAACCAAAACAAAAAAAAATCTTTTTAACGATGGCTTGAATCTTCTTTCGACATTCCGCCATCCCAGTCGAGGATCTTCATTCCTGTTGGGGATCGTCATTCATATTGTATTGCAACTCAAAGTGGACCGAAAGCGACGCAATACGAAAAGGAAGCGCACTCTTTTGAAAAATAAAATAAAAAATGAAATACTCTTTATTTTATCTTTTTGACGACTGTTCACTGTATATGCGGCTCTAACAAAAAATAAGCCCTTGGTCAAACCTTCGTGTCCCTATAAGCTTCGCACTGCTTTCAAAGGCGACAGTCATCGCCACTCTATTCTTTTCTCTTTTCAACCATGTACCAACAACAACTTCGCACTGCGTTCAAAGGCGACAGTCATCGCCACTCTATTCTTTTCTTTTTTCAACCATGTACTAACAACAACTTCGCACTGCGTTCAAAGGCGACAGTCATCGCCACTCTATTCTTTTCTTTTTTCAACCCTGTACCAACAACAACTTCGCACTGCGTTCAAAGTCGACAATACCAATCATACTATCTTTCTTATTTTATCACTACTGAAAAATAAAAATAAAAATAATAACCATATAATCAAACTTCAGCACTCGGAACCCATATACTCTGTTCTTTTATATCTGAAGTGACATATACTACTATTCTCAGAACTGTCTTTTTACTTTCGCATGCACATGATATCTATATACTTATACCTTCAACACCTTCTTCAATGAAAATGACCCCATCCTATCACACATAATTTTTAAAAATTCTTACTTTTAGTATATCTTTAAATATCCAGTTCTAGACCAAACAGTCATTGTCTAACACAAAGTCCTGCCATAGTAATCTCTCTTTATAGATGCACAACATAATCCTCAAACCTATATTTTTAAAAAAAAGAAACATATATTTCTTATACTCTGTACTCTCATTCTTCTTGTCCCTTTCACTTCAAACAAATTAACTTGGTCTCTCCCTACTCGCATATCTTATTTATTTTAATATCTTTAAATAACTAAAATAAAATATGATTTATTATTTATTATATGTTTATATAGGTTATGAATTTATTATAAGAGAGATGTGTGTGTGGGTAGTCGATGTGTGAGTAGTCGATGTGTGAATAGTCGATGTGTGAATAGTCGATGTGTGAGTAGTCGATGTGTGAGTAGTTGATGTGTGAGTAGTCGATGTGTGGGTAGTTGAGGTAGATATATTTAAAGTGTGTGTATGCAGCCGAGGCATATTTGTGTCTGTAGTTGAGGTGTGAGAGAAAAGGGGGCGTTGTGGGTGGGGGGTGCCATAACCAGTGGTCATATGGGAGAGGAAAAGTTTATTTTCTAACAAATCGCAAAAACTATAATCATTTATAGTTTTGAGGTAATGCATTTGGTAATCCAAAGGTTTCTCTAAAGTAATAAGGTAAAGATAAAGTTTTCGCATCCGTAGTGCGGATGCGATTCTAATAACGCATCCGTAGTGCGGATGCGATTCCAATAACGCATCCGTAGTGCGGATGCGATGGTCATGCATGAAATAACAGGTTTATCGTAAAAAAAAAGCCTGGGTAACCGCCCAAGTAAGTTTGTTTGTTTTGTCTAAAAAAAGTATAGAATCATATGAAAATCAAAATAAACCAACCAAAAATAGAAAGCAAAGCACTTTGATACTTTATACACGATACTCTACAGTTAACTAATAGCTTGTGTTTTTTGGTTTATATCTTTGTTCGTGCAAATAATCAAGCCTTTTGATATTTCATATTAATATATTAGTATATATAATGAATTCCAATATCTTATTTTTATCTAATTCCAAAAGGCTTTATTTTAATAATGAAAAAGGCTGGTACTATTATATTCAATAATTATATATTTCTTTGCGATTTTTTAAATAGTAACTCGACTGAAATATGTCTATAGCTTGTATCATTTATTTCCTATTCAATTTTTCAAATATACTCTTATTTAAAACTATTTAAACAGCAACTTAAACAAATAGATATCTTTGGCTTGTACCATATACTTCTCAAGCAGTTTATTAAATAGTTCTGTGCAAGAATATATATATTTCGGCTGCAAAAGATTTTGATTAAAATTAAATCCGATCCGAGCTATAAGCAACAATATGGGGTTTAATACATCTTTATAACAGTTTGATCCACTGGATATTTATGGATCAATTAACACTCTACTTCCTTTAATTCGCTTTATCTCTTATTTTCTTTTTATTTATAAGTCTAATCCAAGTTGATATATATCTATATATTATCAAGTTATTTTAAAATGAATTGTGTTCATATACTAAAAGTTACTCTAGGACTATATATATATAATCTGTTAGTATATTTCAGATGAGCTCTTACACCTACCTTTTTTCCCTCTTTAATACACACGCACACACTTGGGGATCTGTCTACCAGTCAATTGGCTGCACTGGTACAATATATACGATATTGTCTATTTCTTTTTATATCTTTTTACAAACTAAGGGCTCTAATCGACAATTCGGACAGCACGCACTTTTTTGTAAACTGGTATTACTGATCGGTGGTGCAGACACCCTTTGTGTACCCACAAGTGAAAGAATCATAGCAGGGTCCATTGACAGGGATACTGTTACCCATACGAAGGTTTAAAGACCGTATGGTACTCACTTACAATCGTTGAGAGAGGACTGTGTATTCAAAACCCCTTCACTGTGCTGTAACCAAAACAAAAAAAAAATCTTTTTAACGATGGCTTGAATCTTCTTTCGACATTCCGCCATCCCAGTCGAGGATCTTCATTCCTGTTGGGGATCGTCATTCATATTGTATTGCAACTCAAAGTGGACCGAAAGCGACGCAATACGAAAAGGAAGCGCACTCTTTTGAAAAATAAAATAAAAAATGAAATACTCTTTATTTTATCTTTTTGACGACTGTTCACTGTATATGCGGCTCTAACAAAAAATAAGCCCTTGGTCAAACCTTCGTGTCCCTATAAGCTTCGCACTGCTTTCAAAGGCGACAGTCATCGCCACTCTATTCTTTTCTCTTTTCAACCATGTACCAACAACAACTTCGCACTGCGTTCAAAGGCGACAGTCATCGCCACTCTATTCTTTTCTTTTTTCAACCATGTACTAACAACAACTTCGCACTGCGTTCAAAGGCGACAGTCATCGCCACTCTATTCTTTTCTTTTTTCAACCCTGTACCAACAACAACTTCGCACTGCGTTCAAAGTCGACAATACCAATCATACTATCTTTCTTATTTTATCACTACTGAAAAATAAAAATAAAAATAATAACCATATAATCAAACTTCAGCACTCGGAACCCATATACTCTGTTCTTTTATATCTGAAGTGACATATACTACTATTCTCAGAACTGTCTTTTTACTTTCGCATGCACATGATATCTATATACTTATACCTTCAACACCTTCTTCAATGAAAATGACCCCATCCTATCACACATAATTTTTAAAAATTCTTACTTTTAGTATATCTTTAAATATCCAGTTCTAGACCAAACAGTCATTGTCTAACACAAAGTCCTGCCATAGTAATCTCTCTTTATAGATGCACAACATAATCCTCAAACCTATATTTTTAAAAAAAAGAAACATATATTGGGCTTATTATAATATTTTAATTTTTCAACTAAATTAGCTACTAATATAATATATATTATAAAAGTACGGTGACATCAAAGACATATCATGAAAACCATTAGACAGAGCAATAGAGTAACCATGTCATATTTTGCAAGCACCAACAGTTGTGTCGGAGATATACATTTTTATTTTTGTTCAACCATACTTATATTTAGGTTATGTGGTAAGCGCTGTTACTACTTCAAGCCAGGTCCGGCGTTCAATTCTCAATAGAGTATATGTTTGGGTATTTTTTGGTTTTATATATCATGATAGAATCTTTTAATTTTTTTTAAAAAAAAAATTAGTAAGATTATATTTTTGAGTGATTAATTATTCCATGTATTATGCGAGAACAATTAATAGATTAGTATTATCTTTATAGTTCTGGCAAATGTTCTGTTTTTATACTAATCATACAAAATGATTAATATATTAAATAAAGAAGCTATAATAGTTATTGCTTTATTCAAGCATATTATTTTCAGTCGCAACTCTCAACAAAATAAAGATAAAAATTTTCAAAATCTGACTTTTATATTAATCAAGGTAAAGCAAGTGATAGAATCTCAAAAAAGTAATAGATTTGATTGCTTCATAGTTTAAATACCAAGTTAACAGTAAAAAAAAATCATTTAATATTTTCACTTTTATATTTTTTTGTAATAAGCATTTATTAAAGACAATAGCATTTTTACCTCTTATTTTTCTCATTATTTTTTCTATTTTTAATATTTACTTTTTATTGTATATGCAAGTAGTCACAATTTTTTTTCAGAATTAGAGGTAAATGTTTGATCACTTGGTGTGGACAGACTAAAAGCTCAAAAAAAGACCAAAATTAATTAAAACTCTTGCCCAATGATATGACTTAAAATTTGTTCTTCTTTTGCACTTTTTTTGAACTTTTAGTCTGTCTACACCAATTTTTTTTTGTTCTGACATCATTTTATCACATAGATGAATATGTGAGCAAAGACATGCATTGTTTATAGATTAATTCAATTTTTTCTTCTTCTCCTAATATATATATATAGTTATTATATTCTACTCGGACAGCAAAATTCGATTCATTTTAACTTTCTACCAACCTGCCCACTATACCAAATCCCGGCGGCCATCTAATCGTAGCATGATTCAATCTCCGAAAAAATTCTAAAGACCGACAATGCGCCTCTAATGTCACTTTTCTGTTACTCTTCTTTATTAGCTATCGATAGAACCAAAAAGCATACAGATACAATCAGTAGAAGGTGAGAAAAGTAGAATTTTACGAATTTTTTTTTGGTAAAATATTGATTTCTTGAAAAAAAAATAAAAAAAAAATTAAATATTATAAATGCCGACTGAAACCTGTTTTACTTTTATTTTTACTCTCAATTTATCTATTTATTTTACTGTTATACTTTTGAATGATATATAGCTTGTTAAGGCGTTCTACATTACAAGAATTATATATGTACAGAGAAGTTATATTTATATAATAATAATTCGCACAACTACTTTTATCAAGCAATAACATGTCGATTTTTTCTTCCTTTTTGTTTCTAGAAATTCCGATGAATCTTAGAAAAGAAGTAAATCATGGAGCTGCGATTGTGTGATGTCACAAGAGAAAATCATTTGGCTCTTCGTACGGGATTGAAATCAGAGAGATCCAAACGAGATCTCAAGATCTTTTAAGCTTCTATAGATTTAAGCAAAGAATTTATAGGCCGTGGATTACTAAAAAGAAGACAATAATAAAGAGATAATGTTGTCTGAAATTACATATAATCGTATTTGAACATTGGTGTGATTAACTAGTGCACCTGAACAATCACTCAACGCCCAATATTATCAGAGATATTGCGGTTGAGACGAATAGATAAAAAAATTGTGTAGGTGTACTAAGGACTAGTGCCTTTTGACATAATAAACTATCTGGATAAGTTAAGCAGTTTGAAGGAATGAAATAAACCCTCTGTGAATACAAGAAGAGTAAGGTAAACTAACAAAGCTAGGCAATACATTATCAGTGTAGAAGAAAAATGAAAATCTTGAGTAGGATTGGGTCATGGGACCAAGATACACAGCAATACCAATAAAATGTAGATTTACTACAAATATCTTCTGGTTTATCCAGAGAGAGAGTGTATGGGTGCATAATAGCTGCTATATCTGATATTAAATATGTGCACGGATCACTCTTGACAGGATCTATTGTTGAAGGATACGAACGGAACCGTTTTTAGCATGTAACTTGGGTGTAGTACCAATGCCGATTTGAGAAATGTTTGGTTCCGGCTATTGAGGTAAATAGCTTGCCAGATTCCACAGGTTAAATCAATAGTGAGTCATTCATATTTTACACTGGTGTCGTTTAACCGTCCGCGGTCATGTTTTATATATGTAAAAAAATCATATATTTGATACAGGGGAGGATCAAAGGGGTTGAACTGGATGCTGAGCGCTGGGACTTTAGGTAAGTTGTTCCGTGTGCTAGAGAGTTGCTCAAACATGTTTTATTGGCAATTATTCTGCATCAACGGTCTAGTAATATTATTAAAACAAGGCAAAATAAAATACAATACAATAGTAATATATGTAATATAAGATATCAAATTCAGCAATACCTGTTTATGTTATAGAGTAAATTGGTTTGTATGTGTGTGCAGGATGATATTCCCAGAAGCGTTGTATTTGTTATTCATGATTAATATTACTATTTAATCTACACTTTGAGGTTTGCGTTCTTGTTGATATTGAAACGTAGGGAGTGGTGGGTTCGGTTTCGACCATCATGCCAATGGTAACAATAATTGTGACGTAGACAAACCCCCTAACACCCCCTCTTTCTTCATTTGGGATTTATCACAATCCCTCTTTTAGCGTCTTGTATTGACACATAGGGTACTTGTAAGAGGTATTGTAACTCATTACAATACTACTGCGAGGAGGGCCATTCAAGTTGGACAGTATTTACACCCGGGTTACTATCTAGCACAGGTTCTATATTCTTAATGGATGTGTGGTAACGATGGACAGTAAACTACTTCAAGAGGATACGTTCTCGAGACAATAGATGTGCACTCCAATAGTTAGGATGAGTCAAATAATATTTATTTGACTAGGCGTATAGGGATGAGAATCAGTTATCAAAATAATAAAATGGGAAAAGTGTTTTTAACGTGGTAAAAAGAGATACTTCATTCATTTTCATTAAACTTCATATATGGGTCTCCTCTGCTTCTTCCTCTCGCTCCTCTCATCTACACTTCGTTCTCCTTTCTTCTTCAAATTCATTCTCCGAGGAGAGGCGGCCGCCAACAACCACGCACACGTTCACAGTATCCATATCCGTTCTTCCATTTTTTGATACATTACCTCTTTTGATTAGGGCACATTTTCTACAACGATCCCGTCAGTATTTCTTCCTTGTTGTTGTTCAACCTATACTTAAACCTATAGAAAGATATACTATATTATAGTGTAGTATAGTATAACGTATTAAAATAAAATTAATAATGAAATATTTACTTTTCAGAGAGGACTGTCTATCAAAAATCACCTTCACTGAGCCACAAGAGAATAAAAAAAATTCTTTTTAACGATGCCTTGAATATTTTTTTTACCTACCTCATCCCTTTCGGGAATCCTCAGTCAAACCCCCATGCCTAAATTGACTTTACAAATCTACTGTAATCGACACCAACCTCACAACGCTACCAAAACAGACACCAGAAACCTTAACATATTTATTTTCTTTTTCTTTTTTTTTACACGTACCAACATCAACTTCAAAACTCTATCAAGATTGACACCGCCAACCACTATATTCAATTCTTTTTTTGGGCATACCAACACCAACACAAAGATATCAAAAGTTGCACAGAGAATGAAACCATTCATAATATTTTTTTTTGTAATATGTATTGGAGGTAATGTATTTAAAGGCGAAAAAGCTAGAGAATAGCCAAAGCTGATTTAGCTTCGAATATTGTAATGTCTAATGTAGATGGAACTGCTATATGATTAAGGACAAATTCAATATCAAGAATAAGTTGGAAGTGGCCGCTCGATATGGATATCTAGTGTGTGGCATTGGCTACGCTGATTGAGCGTATGTATGATCTATTAGGTTAAATATATGGCGAATAAGGTGTCTAGTTCAGGGAATATTTCCTGGGTGGCGACGAGGACGACGAAGATAGCCCCGTGAGTAGCCATATACGTATGCATAGCTGACCTTCAACTGTTAATACGCTATTGATTTAGATACTAGCGCTTCAAAAGTGATGGTGGTAGCTATAATGATTGAATATTAGAGATTGAGTGGGATCAGTTTCGTGGCTCATATTAGCATGAGGAGGATACTGAGAGGATATATCCAGAGGTCTGCGATATACAATACAGTGGATAATCTAGTGGCTGAATTAAACATACCCGAAACTAACAAATAAGCTAAAGTATGCCGAGTTGCTAATGTTGTTAATTGGGATAGATGATGAGCAGTAATAACGTTATGCTAGTGTTATGCGATTCCTTGCAGCCACAGGATAAGTAGCGAATGTAAGTACGGTAAGGCCAAGCTGTAGTTAAAAGAGGCAGTAATTAAATGTTCAGAGAGTCTTGTTCACCTCTATCCTATGAGGAAACGTGGAGCTCTGATACTTGTCTTGACTGTGAGTACTAGACGAAAGCAAATTACGTTATTTAAATTTTCAAATAGCACTGTATACGTTTAGTCTATAATGGAGGCAAAAACTTGATCCTTTAAATCAATTGGAAATACACTACTGAAATGAAAACATTAATAAAAGAAATAATTTAAAAAATACTTGTATATCTTTAAACAATGATGGGGAGCACAAATTTGTTACTTGATCCTTGATATCAAATACATAAAAAAGATATAGGTGTCGGTGAATTTCTCAAAAGCCTTTTATATTTTTAACCAGCTTAAATTATTTGGCTTCAACTACACATATACTTCTTATATAAAGCAAGTAGTACTGAGTGGTCAAAAATTGTTGTATACCTAGAATCCATACCTAAAACTAAAGTTTTAATGTTTAGCATTAAATATGACTGTAAGGTCCTATAGAAACAGCATAAAGTAGTTATTGAAACAAATACATATGCAGGTATATGATACTCGAGCCCGAAATCTTGATCGTTGGGCTTGTCTGTTTAAAATAATATACAAAAATAATTTGTAGTAATATATCCAAAGAAACTGGTATACCTGTAACCCTTGATAGAGATTGAGTTTTTTAGCGTTGGGTTTTGCTGTCGAAATAGTAAAAAAAGACAAATAAAAAAAAGACAAATATAGCTGTGGCCCACAATAGAGAGTAGAATACTGATACCTGGTATCGGCTGTAAAAAAAATTAGTAAATACAATTTTCAGTGAGAAAATTTTAAAAACTCCTCCTATGTCTTTAATCCTTAATAAAGAATAGAACCATGATAATTGACCTAAACTACGAAGAGAAAAAAAAATAAGCAAATACAAGCATAATTCAAAGAAAAATGGGCAACTAAACAATGTATACCTGTAACATATGAATAAGAGTTAAACAATAATCTTTGACACCAACTGTGAAATTATAAGTATTTATAACCATCAGTGAATAGATTCACAAAGAGACTTGTATACCTACGGCCCATGATGTAGAGCAGAGCCATAAATTTTGGACTTGGCGATTAAAAGACTAGACAAATAAAAGCGACAAGTATTAACTGCTTAAAGAGTCATGTATACATATAGCCCAAAATGGGCAGCGGAATATTGATCGTTCGCCCTGGTGGTAAATAGACTAAAAAAAGAAAGCCAACAATAAGTATATGTTCAAAAAGAAATATATACCTGTAATCATGAATAAATACTCAAAACTTGATCGTTGGCTTAAAATATAAAAAAAAAAGCTAGACAAAATAATAGTTGATAGCTAAATACTAAACGAGACATGTGTATCTCATACCCTGGATGTATGGTGAAACCTTAATCGTTGGTTTTGACTATGTCAAGATAACTAAAAACAACAACCAGTAAGTAGATGCTCAATATATATATACTGGAGAACTTGGACGGGCAACAGAGGCTTTATAGTTTGGCTTTGACTGTGTAAACACTAGAATAATCTAATTGATAGTAAGAAAATATTTAAAGAGCTTTGTATACCTGAGGATTTTTATGGAGAGTGAAACCTTGATCGCTGGTCTTTGCCGTAAAAAGTATGGGAATATACAGCTCAAAGAGACTTGTATGTCTATGACTGTAGGAAAATGTCGGAATATTAATCGTTGGTCTTTACTATGAAAACACTAGAAAAATACACCTAATAGTAAGTAAATTCTCGGAAATATATATATACCTATGGTTGGAGATGTAGGTCAAAACCGTGACTGTTGACATGAGCTGTGAAGATTCTGGACATATAAAACAGGCTGTAAGTAAATGGTGTAATAAAGATGTATGCCTGTAGCCCTGGATGGAAATCGGACGCCTAATCGTTGGTATGAACTGTGAAATTACTAGAAAAATTAAAACTGATAGTAAGAACATATTCCAATAAAAAAAAACTTGTATGTCTATAAGCCTTGATGGAGACTAGAGCCGTGAGGGCTAGCATAGAATGTAAAAAAGAAAAAGAAAAAAAAAGATCAAATAGATAGAATCAGTAGTAAAGTAATATTTAAATACACTTATATATCTAAGACGTTGAATTAATAGCAGGATCTTGATCGTTGACCAGGACTCTAAAAACGCTTGATAAATGTCATTGGCTGTAAAAAAGTAATCTAAGAATCTTATATACCTTTACCCAATAATGTTGAGTGGAAACTTGATAATGACCAAAGACTTGATCAATGGACTTGAATGTGCAAACGCCAGAGAAATTCAGTCGATATTAAAAAAAATCAAAGATACATGGATATCTTCAACCCTTCCCGGAAAGCTGAAGCTTGATCGTTGGACTCGGATTTAAAATACTAATCAAATGTAATCGATAATAAATAAATGTTCAAAATAAACGGTGATACCTGTGGCTCATGGTTGAGAGTAGGAAATTTATCCCTTGACCTATATATTAAAAGCAATAGGCAATAGCAGCCGGCAGTCCTAAAAGGGCAATTATACTTGAATGTCTGTGAACCTGGGTGGAGACTAAACTCTTGAACCTTGGTGTGGACTATGGTATGACTAGATAAATATGATGGATGACAGAAAGATATTCAAAGGAGGGTGTACGCCTGTTACCTCGACGAATAGCAGAAACTTGATCATCAGCGTTGACTGTAAAATTATTAGACAATTTCAACAAGCAATGATTAACTATTAAAAAAAAAGCATATATACCTTTTACCCTAGATGAGCAGCGGAATCTCAATTAGTAGCCTTGACTATGAAAAGACTAGACAAATATAGCAGACACCAAGCAAATGCTCAAAGAGGTATATATACCAGTAACCCTGCATGAACTATGGAATCTTGGGTGTTGGCCTCAATTGTGAAAAGACTACCGAACTAAAGCTGGTAATAGGTAAATACCCAAAGATACTGGTATACCTAACATCCAAGAAGGAGAGTGGCATCTTGATTGTTGGCCTTTTCTGTGAGTAGACTAAAGAAACACAATTGGCAGTAAGTAAATACTAAAAAGTGGCAGTATATCAGTGATTTTTGACGGGGATTTGAACCTTGACTGTTGAATTGAACTGTAAAAAGACTGCTTCAAACAGCTATCAATATGTTAATGGGTAAAGAAAGCCACTTGTATCCCTGTAAATCTATGCGGAAATCGGGCTCTTGATCTTTGGTCTCGACTGTATAAAGTCTGAATAAAGCAATTAGTAGTAAGTAAATGCTTAAAAAGGCATGTATACCTTAACCCTATTTTTTGAAGTGCAACCTTGATTCTCGGCATGGACTGTCAAAGATTAAAAAGATTCAACCAGTGAAGAATAAATGCTAAAATGTGCGTGTGTACCTAGAACCTTGAATGGATAGAAAGAACATGATCATTTCGCCTTGACTATGTAAACGCTAGGAAAATCTAATTTTTTAGTAAATTGCTTAAAGATTCTTGTATACCTGCGACCTTTGATGTAGAGCTGAGCATTGAACGCTTGCTACGGAGAAGAAAGGGTTAGAACAAAACAACTGATAGTACCTAGAAAGTCAAAGAGACTTTTATACCTGTGAGCCCAAAAGAATATCAAAGCTTTGATCGTTGGCTTCGGCTGTAAAAACATTATGCAAATATATAGTAAGTAGATTTTTTGGCAGATTTGTATACCTGTCCCCCCCGGATAAACAACTCATATTAATTGTGGGCCTTTCCTGTAAAAAGACTAGAAAATATAATAGCTAGTAAGTAAAGGTTCACATAGTCATGTATACCTTTAATCCTTAATGGAGATTAAAAACCCGATTGCTGGCTTAAACTATAAAAAAGCTAGACAGAATAATAAGTGATACGTGAGTACTAAATGAGACCTGTATACCTCGGGCACTAGGTAGATAGTAAAACTTTGGTAATTCAGTTTGACTAAATAAAAATTACTCGAAACAACAAGCAGTAAGTAAACGATCAGGTATGTACATATACTTGTTACCCTAGAGGACAGTAAACCTGGATCGATTGGCCTTGGCTGTGTAAAATTAAAAAATAATAATTAATTAATTAATAAATAGTAAAATAATACTTAAAAATATTTTTTAAACCTATGGCCTTAGATGGAGAGTAGATGCTTATTATTTAGCATAGACATTAATGAAATTAGAAAAATCAAACAAGCGTTATGCAAAGGCTAAAAGAGAATTGTATACCTGTAACCGTGGATGAAGAAGAAATCCTTGTTCTTCGACCTGGGCGGTGAAAACACTAGACAAAAAAAAAACAAGCGATAAGTAGAAACCCAAAGAAAAGTGTATACCTGTCATACTGGATGGAGATCGGATCCTTGATGGTTGCCCTTGACAGTAAAAACAATAGACGGATAAAAAAAGCCAATAATCAACGGCCCAACGAAAAATATATATCTGCAAGTCTGGATGAATATCAAGTCCTAGTTCTTCGGCCTAAACCGTATAGGCACTAGACATATAAAACTAAAAGTTAGTAAAGACGCAAACATATTTGTATACCTGTCACTCTGGATAGGGCTCGGATTCGGAATCATTGGTATAGACAGTAAAGGCACTTGACAAAAAAAAAGACACATTAAATAAAAGCACTTGTCAGATTTGTATACCTGTAAAACTTGATGGAAACCGGATCCTTGAGTGTTGAATTTGACTGTAAAGTCACGAGAAAAAATACAGTTTGCAGCAAGTCAAAAATCAAAGAGATGTGTAACACTATATCCCAATATGGAGACCGGGTTCTTGCTCGTTACCCTTGACTGCAAGGACACTAGAGAAACAAAAACAATTATAAGTAACGGCCCAATAACATTTTTATATCTGTATTTCTAGGCGGATACCAGATGATTGGTCGTTGGCCTTGACTTTAAGGACAGTAGAAAATTAAAACCGACAGTAAGTAAAATCCCAAAGAGAAGTGTATACCTGTAACACTGGACGGATATAGGATCCATGATGGCTGGCTTGAACTGTGAAGCCAGTAGAGAAATAAAGCCAACAGTAACTAAAGGCCGAACTAGATGTATATACCTGTCGCACTGGAAGGAAAACAAAATTTTCATTGTGTAGCCGGATCGTAAACACACTAGGCCAATACGAAAGAAAGCATGTAAAGACAGAGAGAAAAGTGTGTACCCGTAACACTGGAAAAATAACAATAAATACACACGGGGAAATTCAGGCATACTATTGTGAATATTCCGCATTTTACAGTGGGGTTTTGCCTATTTCCACTGGTACCAAAACTGATCTGGTTACATGTGCACAGACCTGTTATCTACAAGTGTAAAGTTCGATAGCACTAGTGAAGTTGGGGTCAATAGTAATTTTATATCTTTGTATATAATAGAGTACCAAGAAAACTTTATTTCAAACTTTGTTTTTTGCTGTAATACAATCTGTTTCCATGTTAAAGGTTAATAATCAGGGACTACGTCGCATGTGTATTGTTGAACTATCCCTGGGTGAATAGTTAGAACCATGGACATTTTATTGCTTATAAGCCAATCATTAACACTCTTTATTATGAGGTCATAGATTATCTGCTCCCCCAATTACTTGATATTCAATTATTATTGGTTTGAATTATAGTTTATTTTTGTATTTATTAGAAAAAATAGAATGATTCTAGGTTGATAGTATTGGAATAATATTATATGCCTCGGGCCGTCTTCACCGGTATCCTTCATATGACTCAAATCAAGCAGTGCTTTATATATAATGTTTGTAAACCCTCATATTCAGTAGTTATCTTTGGCACAGATACTATTTAACATAATAGAAGAGAAGTTAGATGTGTATTTAAATATTTACATGTTGTGAGTGATATATTAATTTGAGGATACATACAATATAATGACTGAAGAAGATAAAAATAAAACTTTGAGAGTTCGAGGCATGGCGTCAAGTATAATTTCTTTAACAATGAAAATAATATAGAGAAGTTAGTTTGAGTGAATTGGGTGACAGAATATGTAATGAACGTACCCGAAGAAAGTCGATTTATTTGTAGACCTAGATAGTACTTGTCAAGAGTTGATATAACCTTTAGTAAAAAACATATATTAATATACAGTATAAATAATACTATCATACATATTAAGAGAATAAAAGAAGAAGTCTTACCATGTCAATGACGGCGCCAAGAGATAGAGGTTCTTGATTAATTGCGTGTTTGGCAGATGAACATTCATCTGTAATAAAAATTATATTCTGTCAGATAAATATTAAAAGTAAATAAAAAATAAAATATTACCGTGTTGATGGTCTTGTTTAATTGTAGGGAATATTTTTGGCGATATTGTCTATAAAAAAGGAGAAAAGTCAGAATAATTTTATAGGATGATGACATGAAGTATAGTTACTAACCTGGACTAATCCGGATGGCCATTGTAAAGAGAATACATCAGAAGGAAAAAACACGCTAGTATCTATGACAACTGAAATAATAATTATTATTTAGTTACATTTGAAGAAAAGAATTGCTTTAAAAAAAAAGAAGATATGTTACCAAAAAAGTTTGCGAATATAGTAAAACACTAAGAGAGTATATATGTATCTATGACAACAGAATGTGTTAATCTTGTTGTTGTCTGTACAGAAGTATTTTTAAGAAGAATGTATCTTACCAGTAAAATTCACAGTTATAACAAAAATCAGAAAGAGAAAGAAAAGAAAAGAAAATGGTCGATAAGGAAAAATATGGAAAAATATGGAAAAATAAAAAAAATAAGTAAATAAAATACAAAAAAAAACAAAATAGGTAATTAAAAAAAATGAAACTCAAAAAAAATATCCAAAAAGCATAATAGATATAATGGTGTAGTATCTAAAAGCAATCTTTGTATCAATTTACACAGTGTGTGTACAAGAAGTTACTTTAGATATATTCTTTTAACCAAGATCAATCAAGACTAGACATCCTTTTTTTTTTGGAAATATAAATATACGTTTTTGCTACAATCTTACTCACCCTTGCTCACGCACTCTTACAATTATTCTTACTTATACTCACACTTTCTCTCTCTATCTCCCCATCTTTTTCTGTCTTTTATTTTGGTATGTTTGATAATAAATATAATTGTAGTGTATAATAGAAATTTATTCAAAGAATATAAAAGCATTAACAGTTAATACATATTTGAACTTATATTTTTAAATTAATAGAATATGTCTAACCAAAATGAAAGCTATCCCACTCGACGCACTCCTGCTGAGAGAGAGATGACAAACTCTCTTGCCATCTTGCGTCGTGACATGACCACTGTCATGAAAGATGTTGCTGATATCAAAGCAAAAACTTCGAACACTCCTGTATCTGCTGTTTTGCAGAGTCAGCCGATGGCTTTAGTGCATGCTGTTGCTCCTGTGAGCATGGAAATGAATGTAGCTGGTTCTCCCACCATGGCTTCTGATGCAAAATCAGTCAACAAAACAAAAGCCTATGTATGTATCATACATATAGTAAATTATATCTTTAATAACTTACCAAGATTCAATAGAGACTTCTTCGGGAGCATTTGTGGGACCCTAAGTTCAAGTCAAAACATTTGGCTGAAATTCAAGCCAACAATGGCAAGCCAAGGTGGAACACGGCTGTCAACTTCAACCAGTCGCCAAACACTGAGTTGACAGAAAACCTCGTTGCCTACTCGGAAAGAAATTTCGTAGGAGCAGGACTGAGAAAAAGTGATGTTCGTGACTTTGTCTACACGAACTTCACTAGCAGAAAGCGTGCAGCTAATAAGTCTCAGGCTAAAAAGAAGTCAGACAATGCTCGCAACAGAAGGAGTAGCCGCGAAAAGGAGGTAAGTTATACTTTATTTATTTATTATTTGAATAATTCTTATCTAAGTCATTAATTTAAAGCAAAAAAAGAAAACTAATTTAATATTTTCAACAGCACTTGAAACGTCGCAAAACAGCGTACCAGTCTAACAAGACTGCTATTGATGACGAGATGAAAAGAGATTGCTCTGGTCTCATTATAGAAGAGGCTATGTCTGTTGGTGAGTCAGACGATGGCACTTCGCCTCATGTTTCTTATAGTGGGCTTCGTCTTCGTCGTCCAGGTTGGAGAAGTGATGAGGTAATTAGTTTTTTTAAAGTTGAAATATTTAATTTAGTTAATATATTATATTGTATTATACTGAATAAAATATTAATGTCTTTAATATAGTACAACCACTTCATCACACTTGTTGACAACAAAGTGGTAGCTGATTTAGGCTTAAATAGCCATCAATTGCTGTCACGTGCTTTTGGCGAAACCGTTGAAGGACCAGTCCCTGATGCAATTGCGTCACAGTTTCCTCAGTGGGCTCTTAGAAACGGGCCCTAAATAAAGTTTATATTTTTTGTTCTTTTTTTCTTCATTCATAACGTCTTATACTTTAAATAACCAAAAAAATGCATAAAGAGGCATTACTTGTTCTTTGTTTTTTATTTAATTATTCTCATAAAAAATCATAGTGCATAATTATTCATAAAGGCTTCAGGCATAGTATTTTTTTGGCATAGGAATGACCAGCATTCTTTCTTCGTTCATATCAGTTACATCTACAGCAGTTGCGACCTCTAAGTGTATGCGATGTACAGGCAAGATGCTGTGATAATTATCAGCGGAGAATTCTGGCAAGCAGATTGCAATACCTTCATCTCTGTGTTCATTGTCATTTGTCGAACTATACCATCGGATGTATGCAAAAACATGCTGGTCTTGATGTAATGTTGATGCTCGGTGGTTTGGATGAGGAGGCAGAGTAAATGAATGTATAAAAAGATACTGAATTTGTCCGGTATATAGGCTTGAAGTTCGGCCATTGCTGCTACGGAAGAAAGCTTGAACGAGTGACCCGCGCTTACCAGAACTGTTGTTCCCAATATATGTTTGGCCAAGGAGATCAATTGATTTCAATTTTGTGATTCGGTTATTTACAAAATATTGTGACAATCTGGCATCGTGGTAAGAAATGAGATTGGGCATGGCATAGGCGATTTTATAATAATCTAACAATTGAGGATAATCAATATCACTCATTGTTGATTCTTTTAAGGACTGTAAAGGAAAGGTGGATGGGGGGAGTGGTTCATTGCCTTTGATAGGTGCTGCTCGACTTAAGGATGAGTCTACAAATTGTTGCAGTCGGAAAGGTTGTTGGTTGGTTGGAGCATAAGTGGCATAGGTCGTTATAGGTGCGGTCGTAGAGGTAAGTTTTTCGAAAAGAGGAAGGAATGGAATGAGGCTTGGACATGATAACGTATTTCGTACGTAATCAGCTTTGTATGCGTCTGCAGTGAATTTTGTCATATAGGTTGTTTCAAACCCGTCTTTTCTGTTTGTCTTGTTATTCTTTAACAAACCATTGTATCTCTCAAAACCAAAGAGCCAATAGCCATACACGGGTCCAAAATCACGAATTGTGTCATGAAGATGGAGGTGCAGGTGCATGTTGCAGGTGAGGACTTTTGGTTCATATGTATCTTCACAAGATTGACAGAATTCTTGTAGATATCTGTGTGCTTGGTCTATTTCGATGAAACTGATTGACGGCTTTACAAGTATACGGCATGCTTTTACATAGTGCATCCAGCCATTGAACATATTGGACGGAAGAACTGGTTTTAGAAGCACGGGAGAGTACACCAATACCCAAGACTTCCACTCATCTGCTTTCATGTGGGAAAAGCCCTTTCCTATCTTCGTTTTCAGCTTGGTATAGTCGCTGGGCAATATCATCGTTGCTGCAACTGTCTGCATTGCAAGCAGATCATTGTTTTTCATTTTTTTCATTTTTGTCCATGTTTCAATCATTCTCTTTGGTGTTCCCAGAAAAAGATTATGCATGGGATCAATGATCGTTCCACGTACTAGATCAAAGTATCCAAGGCGATACAACTGCGACCATCGAACACCATATTCGACCTCCAGCTGCTGCCTTTCTGAGGGTGTACTCGCACTATTCCACTCCTCAGCATGCACACGGTTTGCTCTATCACTTCGATGGCGCCACTGGTCACAATCAAATCCACGGAAATCGACAGAAGAAGTGCCTGGTAGACGAGAAAATTGATTGTCGCATTTGTAACAGGCGCATGTGCTGTTGTGCGCGGTGAACCCACTAGTCTTTCTGGCAGCAGGTATATCGCATGCAACCATCAATAAGGCTGCACGAACTGTTGCACCGTCTGTTTGCTGGTAGGTGGGTATCTGTATTCCAAGATAGAGCTGTATCATTTCGTCGACTAATGGCTTGAGATAATGATTGATCTCTTCTGATTTTGGCTCTTTTGGTCCGGGCATGAGGCCAACAAGGATTGTATTTTCTGCTTTAAACCGCTCACTTCTAGGCAGGTTGTTAATCACCAGGTAGATAGCACCGCAGGAATAGCTAGTACCATCGAAAGGCTGGAACCAGTCGATGTTTAATGTCAGCATCAATGAACGAGGATGCTCAACAAAAATTTCATCGTCATTGTCCTTCAAATCAGTCCAGGCTTCACCATCGTAAACATCACACAATGTATCAGTGATCTTGAATTCTTGGTTCCAGTGCATGATCTTTTGCTCGAAATCGGGACGGAGGAAAAGAATTTTAAGAGCACGTGTGAGAGACTGATATACATAAGACTTCTTTGCGACCAAACCACCAAACAATGATTGGACCATTAATTTGCAATTACAGGCGGTATGTGCACCAAGCTTTACGAAATCACAATTCAAAGGAGCAGGTACACTTTCCTCATACACCTTGTGGCAATCCTGACACATGACAAATCTCTTAATCCCTTTTGTCATGGCTGAGAATCCTGTCATGCTTTGGAGACCAGAAAGACTCACGGGCAATTGGAAATCCTGCTCGTAAATCGACAAGAGCTTGTTGATGAACTCGATCAAGACAACAGCGCCCTTATTGACCACATAGCGGGAAGCAAACATTACCACAAAAGTAGCAATGAACCTGTGTACCGGATTTTCAGGCATATTTGGGGTGGCAAAAGGATCTATTGTAAAAAAAAAACAAAAAAAATTAACACCCCCCCTTTTTTCAGATTTTTCTTTTTTGGTTCTTTTCCTTGAATTTTTTTGGTTCTTTTCTTATTAGTTAATTAACACGGACTGACCTTCAGTATCGAATTCTTCGACTTCAATCTCAACAATATTCTCTTCATTGTCTTCACTTTCTTCACCGCCATTGCTTTCTTCGTCATTGTCATTTTCATCACCATCACTGCTTTCGCCATTCGACTCATTGCTAAAAGCAACCTCATCGTCAGAAATTGGGGCTCCTTCCCAAACAGGCGAGTTGGTCTGACCGCCCATTGCTTCCATGGGTCCGGTTTGTTGGTTTGATGTAGCTACATATAGAATTCAATTTTTAGTTTACTTCTCTTTTTATCACAATTAACGTTTCTTACTTTCAAAATCAATATCCATGAGATTTCTTTGAACAGATACATCTATTGAAATAAAACATTATATAAAATAACCAAAATGAAAATGAAAATGAAAAACAAAACATACTTCTTTCACTTCTTTCCATGCCTTCATATCTTGCTCTTTTATTGTGACGCTGGAGGGTTCGTGTAGAAACAAAGCTGTAGCCTTGTTGATTATCGCTGCATTTTGTGCAATAGCACTTCTTATTATAAAGTTCAGAAGTAGAGGACATGGTGTTTATTTTGTTATAAATGTTAAGATAAAAGGAAAACAAGTGTTACATTTACTTTATTTGTTCAAACTTTATAATAATAATAATAATAATAATAATGATAAAATAACTTGGATGGTTATTATATCCGAGCCAATAGAAAATTACAACATGACTTTATGAACATGTACACCAAAAAACATGCTGAGATGAAAAATTGCTCTAAATATCCACATGTAACCATGAACCTTCACACAAGGGTATTCAGGGTCATTTCTCCAGTGTAACCTTGATTTGAAATCAGATCTTTGATATTTGAACTTTAAGGAAAAAAACACTAGAAATATATAAATGACAGTAAGTAAAAGCTCAAGAAGACTTGTTTACCTGTAGCCCAAATTTGAGTTTTGATCCTTGCTGTTTGGTCTGGAGAGTAAAAGCAATAGTCATATATACTTCTAGGTTAGTAATGGCCAAGAACGACTTGTATACCTTCCATAATGGATGTATATTTGATCATCGTTCTTTGCCATCAAAAGAAAGTATAAATAAAGAGTATAGTTTGTTTTAAGTAAAGGTTTAAAGGAAACTTGGTTAGCTATAACAATTCATGAAAATCGGATCCTGATAATTGCCGTGGATGAGTAGACACTAGAAATATATAAAATCCAATGAGTAATTGCTCATCGAGTTTTTGTATACCTATAGCCACGGACTGAATCCGGATCCGTGAAGCATGATCTTGGTGGATTCAACACTAGAAATAAATAAAGCCGAGTGTGATTGCTCATCGATTTTTGTTATACCTATAACCATATAACGGGAGATCAGCACCTTGAAGCTCGACCTGTATGGCCGGAGACTAGAACTAGATTAAAATAATGAGTATATGCCCATAATGCTTTTTATACCTATACCCATGGCGGGGAGATCGGAATCTTGATGCTTGATCCGGATAGCTGGAGACTGGAGATATATTAAATCTAGTGAGTATATGCCCATAATGTTTTTTTATACCTATAACCATGGCGGGGAGATCGGAATCTTGATGCTTGACCTGGATAGCTGGAGACTGGAGATATATTAAATCTAGTGAGTATATGCCCATAATGTTTTTTTATACCTATAACCATGGCGGGGAGACCAGAACCTTGATGCTTGACCTGGATGACTGAACACAAGAAGTATATTACAGCTAGGGAGTATATGCCCATAATGTTGTTTTATACTTATGACCATGGAGGGGTGATCAGGTCCTTGACGCTTGATCTGAATGGCTGGAGGCTAGAAATAAATATCAAAACTAGTGAGTAAATGACAATAACGATTTGTTATACCTATAACCATGGACGGGTGATCGGAACCTTGATGCTTGATATGAATGACTGAACACTAGAAATATATCAAAGCTAGTGAGTATATGCCCATAATGTTTTTATATACCTATAGCCATGGACGGGCAGTCGAAACCTTGAACCTTGACTTGGACGACTGAACACTAGAAGTATATTAAAGCGAGTGAGTATATGCCCATAATGTTGTTTTATACTTATGACCATGGAGGGGTGATCAGGTCCTTGACGCTTGATCTGAATGGCTGGAGGCTAGAAATGAATATAAAAACTAGTAAGTAAATGGCAATAACGTTTTATTATACCTATTACCATGGACGGGTGATCGGAACCTTGATGCTTGACATGAATGACTGAACACTAGAAATATATTAAAGCTAGTAAGTATATGCCCATAATGTTTTTTTTATACCTATAACTATAGACGGGCTATCAGACCCTTGATGCTTGTCCTAGATGACTGAACACTAGACATATATTAAAACTAGTGAGTATATGCCCATAACGTTTTGTTATACCTATAACCTTGGCTAGGAGATCAGAACCTTAATGTTTGACCAGATGGTTGGAGACTAGAACTAAATCAAAACTAGTAAGTATATACCAATTTTTTTTATACCTATAACCATGGACGTGCGATCGGGTCCTTGACGCTTCATCCGGATGACTGAACACTAAAAATATATTAAAGCTAGAGAGTATATGCCCATATCGCTTTGTTATACCTATCACCATGGACGGGCGATCAAAACCTTGTTGCTAGACCTGGACGACTGAACACTAGAAATAGATAAAACTAGTGAGTGTATACCCATAATGTTTTTTATACCTATAACCATGGACGGGCGATCGGGTCCTTGATGCTTGACACGGATGGCTGAAGACCAGAAATAAATATAAAAACTAGTGAGTATAGGCCCATAATGTTTTTTTATACCTATAACCATTGACGGGCGATCGGAACCATGATGCTTGACCTGGATGGCTGAAAACTAGAAATATATTAAATCTAGTGAATATATGCCCATACCATTTTGTTATACCTGTCACCATTGACGGGCGAGTAGAACCTTGATGCTTGACCTGGATGGCTGGAGACTAGAACTAGATAAAAACAGTGAGTATACGCCCATAATGTTGTTTTATACCTTTAACCATGGATTGGCGATCAGAACCTAGATGCTTGACCTGGATGACTGAACACTAGACATATATTAACGCTAGTGAGTATATGTCCCTAATGTTTTTTACATCTATAACCATGGCAGGGAGATGGGAACCTGGACGCTTGACATGATGGGCGGAACACTAGAAATATATTTAAAATAGTGAGTATATTGCCATAACGTTTTGTTATACCTATAACCATGGACGGGAGATCAGAATCCTGTTGATTGACCTGGATGATTGAACACTAAAAACATATTAAAACCAGTGAGTATATTTCCATAATGTTTTGTTATACCTAGAACCATGGCTGGAAGATCGCAACCTTGACGCCTGACATCGATGGCTGAACACTATAAATATATTATAACTAGTGAGTATATTCCCACAACGATTTGTTATACCTATACCCATTGCTGGGAAATCGGGTCCTTGACACTTGACCTGGATGGCTGACACTAGTAATAGATAAAAGCTAGTGAGTAAATGCGCATATGGTTTTGTTATACCTATGACCATTTCTGGGAGATCAGAGCATTGATGCTTTTTCTGGATGGATTGGATACTACAAATATACAAAAACAAGTGAGTAACTGCTCATCGAGTGTTGATATACCTGAAAACTGTGGACCTTGACCTGGACCTTGAAGCTTGACCTGGATGGAATGGATACTACAAATATATAAAAACAAATGAGTAACTGCTCATAGAGTTGTGATATACCTGATAACCGTGGACTCTGATCGGATCCTTGATGCTTGACCTGGATGGAATGGACACTACAAATATACAAAAACAAATGAGCAACTGCTCATAGAGTTTTGATATACCTGATAACCGTGGACCTTGACCTGAACCTTGAAGCTTGACCTGGATGGAATGGATACTAGAAATATACAAAAACAAGTGAGTAATTGCTCATCGAGTTTTGATATACCTGAAAACCGTCGACCTCGACCTGAACCCGTTGACCTTGACCTGAACCTTGAAGCTTGACCTGGATGGAATGGATACTAGAAATATACAAAAACAAGTGAGTAACTGCGCATTGAGTTTTGATATACCTGAAACCGTGGACCTTGATCTGAAAACCGTGGACCTTGACGTGAACCTTGAAGCTTGACCTGGATGGAATGGATACTACAAATATACAAAAATAAGTGAGTAACTGCGCATCGAGTTTTGATATACCTAAAAACGTGGACCTTGATCTGAAAACCGTGGACCTTGATCTGAAAACCGTGGACCTTGATCTGAAAACCGTGGACCTTGATCTGAAAACCGTGGACCTTGATCTGAAAACCGTGGACCTTGATCGGAAAACCGTGGACCTTGATCGGAAAACCGTGGACCTTGACCTGAACCTTGAAGCTTGACCTGGATGGAATGGATACTACAAATATACAAGAACAAATGAGTAACTGCTCATGGAGTTGTGATATACCTGATAACCGTGGACCTTGACCTGAACCTTGAAGCTTGACCTGGATGGAATGGATACTACAAATATACAAAAACAAGTGAGTAACTGCTCATAGAGTTTTGATATACCTGATAACCGTGGACTCTGATCGGATCCCTGATGCTTGACCTGGACGGAAGGCACTAGAAGCATACAAAAGACAATGAGCATATGCTCCTCGAGTCTTGGTGTACCTGTGGCCCTGGATGGAAACCTGTTCTTGATTGCTTGACTTTGCCTGAAAAGTCCCTACAGAAATATCATAGACAGTGAATGATTAATCAACGAGCCTTTATATACTTGTAGGCCTGGATGGAGATCTTATTTTTTATCGTTGACCTTGTTTGTCAAAAGACTAGACAAATATAATCTTCACAATGTGTGTCTTTGATGAATATCATATACTCCTTGAATTATAGTAAGTCCTGTCAGTTTATCTCTTGTTTCTGAGCGTGAATAGGCTTTGGATGGATTGATGGTCAAACCAGTGTTGGACCTCAGTATTTCATTTTTGCTGTGTAATGGTTTTGACATGTTGTCTTATATCTTGCTACTGACTGTTTTACATATGATAAAAGCCTGAGATTTGACTAGCAAAATGGATTTGTATTGGTCATGATTCGTCTTTAACGTCTATGTTGATTAAAGCAGTTTGTGAGAGAGCAGTAAAGAAGTGTATAAAGTATTAATGGTATGTGGAAGAGAGTTGTTTTGACGCGTTCTGTTTGGATAGGTGTTTTTTTTATAAAACTCATGACGTCTCAATCATGAGTTGCTGTTCTTTTTTATTATTTTTATTATGATAGTTTGATAATATATTATAAAATTCGGTTTTTTTCTTATTCCTTTTTCGGTTTTCTTTTATCTTTTAGCCTTGACAACATGTATATATTATTACTATTTTACTTCTTTATTTAATATCTATGCTTAAAATATGGGTTTTGGGTGTTAAAGAAGTATCACTTACATTCTGAAGGACGTGCTGTGCAGGCACTTATTTTACTTTTTGTTTTTTTGTTTTAGTTCTTTTTATGTCACATAAGATCCGTGCTGTCCGTGCAGCATCACATGTGTCATGGGGCTTAGAGGAGCATAGTAGCAATAGTGGTCCAGACTTTACTTTAGCATGAAAACATTTAAATGATGTCTTCCGATTGGTGGACTATATGCATGTCAAATTATTCAGTTGCTATGGACCCCCATCCCCTTTTTTATTCTACTTTCTGTTGTGATTCTGTTAACAAGGCTTATGCTTTTGAACAGCCACTTGTCGAGACACTATATATGCCTCTGTGTTCATTTTAGCTGTACTACTGATATACAAAGTATTAATCGGCTAGACGTTAAACTACAATAAAGAAGTGTAAAGTTGTGTTGATTATAAAGCTTTAATTAAAGTCTTGTGTATATTTATTTGTTTGTTTTCTTGTTTGTTTGTTTCACATGCTGTGACTTTATTAGTTTAAGAAGCACCCCCGAAAAAAATTGCTGCTTATATCTTTTCTTTTCTTTCGTGTGAAAGACTTCCATTTTTCTTCTAGCTTTTTCACCAGTGTCTTGAGTTAATAAACACAAAGTGTAGGAATACTTTCTTGAAATAAAAGTACTTTCAGTGCTTCAGTATGAAGGGATTGACAGCCTGACTATTGAAAGTCGTTGGTACCTCAAGTTAAAGCATCGTTCTTAGAGTAAAATAAAAGTAAAAAGAAGAACAGGGTCTAGGCTAGTGTTTGTCAATCGACCTTGGTTTGTACTACTTTATAAACCAATCATAATCCAACCGAGAAATTAATACAGAATAACCCAACTGCCTGAAACACTTTACATTTATATGTGTTCAAATATACACCATTCTATCGATAATTATAATTATTTATATAAGTTACATTATACACCATGAAAAAGTAGTGGTGCTTGCAATTGTGCTAGCCTGGTCACAGATAGATCAAGCTAGTAAAATGGCTATTACATATATATAAATCACCTTTTAAAGGCTCTGCTTATTTACTATTTTTTTCTGTTATTGCTCAGACTGACTGACGGCACAATATGAAAGCAAAGAGACAATCTACTGCTACTGAACGTATAGGTTTTGTTTGGTTGGGAGCAAGACGCTATCGATTACTAATTATCGATTTATAGAATCTAGTGTTTTTGATATTTTGCGCTTGTATACCAAACTCAACTGGATGCACGAATAACCTAGAAATAATACTCTGTTGGATTAAAGGCTTTGCTTTATAACTTTTGTTTTGTAATACAATATAATGCGCTACAGTACTGTATAGTATGATTCCACTTATTATTTTGAGGTTCATAGTCTAGCTTTGGTTTGCTTGAGACAATTTTAGTTTGAAGCACTGACCCTTTGTATAAATGAACCTTTTCTATGGTCGATTAAATATGAGTGTACTGGAAATGATATTTTTTAAGATTTCTACAAGCATATGCAAATGCACACCAATGGTAATCATAGCTTTTCAATTATAGAAAATTAAAAATCGAATCAAATAAGCAATGTTTTTTTTTTGGCTTTAAGTAGCCTGGTGAGACACATTACGGCTCCCAATATAAAGGCTGTTTAACATTTATTTCTTGAGTTTTGGTCAAAATGTCAACAGCTTTCACTCTAAAAAAAACTATAAATATTGATATTTGGGCTATTTGTACTACACAGCCTTGTTCGATGCCAATGTTTCTTCAGGGCATATATCTATATATATATATATATATTTAAAAAAAAAGAGCTCTTGACGTACCTAAGACAGTATCCGACGTTAAGAAAACTTAATGTCTGGAGTTATAAAAACAAAATAGTATATACATGTTACTTTGGTTTATATATATAACATATATACTCCACATAATTTTTGTTTTGCAGTTAGTTATCAGGTTCTTAGAGTTAAGATGTAACCCTAGCTGTTTAATACACTTTATTTGTAATCTTAGCTCCAATTCTACTTAAAATCTTGAGAATTCTGAAGATGTAAGTTTCACTTTCGGAACACCCACTTGGTACTAGAACTAATATTAATATAAAACACTTTTTTTTTTCACTTCATTTCTGATAAAAAGGAGTATGATCTCGCAACTGACACGTTTTGGGATGGTTGTATGATGTTTTGTCTAGAAGATAGCTGTGCTTTTTTAGTAGAGAATTCTTATCCGACAATATGTAGTAACTATTGCAAATAATATCGCTCTTTAGGGAAGAGTAATTTGAAAATAAAAGATATAGAGTTGCTCTGACAAGACAAAAAATAGGGTAAAAAGGTTGTTCTTTATTTGATACGAATATTCTAACTATTTATATGAAAGTTATGGATAATTGTTTTGCTAAGAATGCTATTGTAAGAAAAGGAAATATGAGGTCGGGTGAGTTTATATCTCAAAAATAGAATATGGTGGTTTGTGGCAGACAAAGGACAATAAGACAATAGTATTCTTGACACAGCAAAAAAGAGAAACAAATGTACCAATAGATTATAAATATAGGAAATAAATGTATTCTATACTTATACCCGTAGTCACTATTATACATCAGCACTAAATTTTTATGTCTATCTTGCAAGACTTTAGTTATTAAGAACACATCCTATCTCGCTAAATTAAAAGCAGCAAAAAAAACTCTTTCTGTGCAAGAACAGCTTTTAGATTGTGTAAGACCGATAATTAACGGTGCTATTATAAATAGATCATCCATTGGCATTTTTAAGAAGAATTGTATACCTCGATAAACGATATATATATAGATCACAATCAGAAATAAGGGAGATACTGGGGCAGCCGCTTCTAAAAAGCAAAAAGAAACTTTGAAGAGAATGGATGAGTGGGTTTAATGCCATTTGATTAGCGACATTAAGACGAATCGTAAGAAAGTACTATATTAGACAAATTTTGTTGTGTAGTAGAGCTTTCATTATGGTTTGGGGCTGTGTGTGGCTAGGAAAAGCTAGGTAAATTAAAGACCATAAATAACACAATTGACTGTATACGTGAACTTGATAAAAATAATTGTACCTCCTTTCACAATTCTAATTTTGTAGAAGAGTAGAAAAAGTATTAGGACTTGACAATAATAGTATGGCCAACCAACAACACAGACCTTAGCCTCATAAAATACTGTGATATCTCACAAGAGTGAATGTAAGAGTCCAGTCTCCAGAAATAATAATAAGCATTTACAGTGGTCCCTCAATAATTTCAAGGCACTTAGTACCCCCTTTAGCCTTGAAATCATCGAGGGACCACTGTATACAAATGGGGTGAAACGTATACTAAAAGTGAGCTTTAATACTACCCACATTGAGTTAAGCAAAAAACAAAATAGTCCAATATTCTGTTTAGGCTAGAAAGCTTTTTTTCTGTCTATAAAAACAAGATGATGGATTAAGCATCGAACTGCTGTAAAGCTGGCGAGACTAGAAAAGTGAACAAATACGAAAATACAGCTATTGAAAGCATTGTCAATCTGACTTCTTCGTCTATATATAATAGGTTCGATCAAGTACCAGAAGCTACATTCATACATTAAGCGGGAATATCTTTGGGGGGCCATCAGATCTAATTCCTCGTTGTTCAAATCTTGTACCTTTGTGGAAGAACAGAAATGAAATCAAAGGTATTCCCGGATTGTATTTGTGACAAATATGTAAATAATGATTATGAGTAATTCGCTGTGTATGTTGAAGTCAACACAAATGAAAACGCATGTAGTTTAAACCAAGGCCTGTATCGACTAGCTTTATTTTGCAAAAAAAAAATGATTCAATAGGCACATATAACTTGGAAATGTAGTTTATCTTTTCCAGGAAAATTAATACCACTGTTATTATTATTACAAGCTCTATTTAAACCCCTTTTTGATTTTGATTTTTACAAGACAGTGGTATGAATGTCTATATTGAACCAATTTCTAGAAATCTATCTGTATATTCAAGAAGTTTGCTTTTATAGATAATCTTTTATTGATTGGAAATCATTTATAAAATAAGCTTATTTCATAAAATATATTTATTTTTTAGTCAACGGCTAGCTATTTATACAGAAGACAATAGTCACGATAAGAGAATTAAAGAAGATAATACTGATAGATAGATAGATAGATAGATAGATAGGCATCCTAGTGTCTTTTGTGGAATTTGATAGACAGTGTCTTTGGTGCAAATGAAAAAACATTATCATATACCATCCCATTATTGTGAATCGAGTTCTCAGATAAGTCCCACTCGTAGTGTTTTACTATGCAATTGAGATTAATATCAAAAGAACCTATTGTTTTATTCTCTTTTCTTTCTTTCTTTTGCGTTTTTCTTTGGCCATTAGTTTTGAAAGAGCTTAACTTACATAACATAAGCAGAATAACCTGTTGCTCTGTCATACTGAAATTGATACCAAGACATTTTCGGTTTCCATCACTAAAAGGTGCCCATGTAATACCTCTGTGCTGCTCATGTTCCCCTCCTTTACTAAATCTCTCGGGATCGAAAACAGATGGATTCTTCCAGATCGCTGGGTTCTTGTGCAAAGCCTCAATGTCTACACTAATACGTGTGCCTTTTGGAATAAATACCCCAGACAGAAAGACATCTTCGGTCGCTATCCGCTCAAAAAGCAAACCACCAGGAGTACATAAACGCAAAGCCTAGAATGGTAACTGTATAATAAGACTCAAGTATATATATATATATATATATGTCTGTGTTTACTTGTAATATGTGTACCTCTTTTACAACCATATTAATATAATTAACACGCTTACATTCATCGAAAGTGGGTGGAGAGATGAAATCGTCGTATCCAAGAATATCCAGTGCTTCCCTGCGCGCTTTATCTCGTACGTCCTGTTTGTAACCGGTTTTATTAGATGTTTGTATTATACCTAGCATTGAGACCTACTTTATTTATAACCATGTGGTATATACAAAATGAAACAGAGCTGGCTGTAGTCTCATGTCCTTTATATATATGAAAAACAAGACAAAGAATAAATTAAAGCCAGCTTTATGTAAAAGAAGTATATATATATATATGTATGTATGTGTGTGTGTGTGTGTGTGTTTACTGGTAATATTTAATTCGAATACTCTCACCTGCCATAATAAAAGTAGCCATGTTTGCCTACAGGTAATAGTTCACCAAATAATGTGTGTTAATTTTTTTTTTAAAAAAAAGTAATAATAATGACTATAATAAATAACCAGGCGAATAGTTGTTTTGTATTACTCTTAAATCGTCAGATCCACTTGATTTATTGTCCTTCATTTCAGCTTCAAGGATAAGTGTCAAGAGATCCTTCTCTTGATCATAAGCATCACCATCCGTATCACCGTTATTATTATTGCTACAAGACTGGGGCATCGATTCTTCGAGTTCTTGCTTCTTTTTGTTCACCAACTCAAGGATCAGTCGATTGAGTTTATCTACACCATTTTTGGCCTTGGTATAATTAGGATAGAAATAACGAAGGATATACTCAAGAGAAGGAATTATATTAAGAACGGGAGCCGTTACTCCTGACATTGCATCACTGTAAGCTGTCATCCAGGCAGAATTGTCTTCTTTCATAGTCTTGAAATCAAATCCTTATACCAAAGTTAAATATGTTAAAAGATGATAACTATAATTATATATATATAAAAACAGCAAAGGGAAAAAAAGAGGGACTACGTACCAAATAATGCTTTACCCAAAGCATCGAATGTCATCCTTTGTAACAAGTTGACTATCAAGATATCTCCATCTGACTTGTCAATCAATCTAAACATGTCTGGGATAAGCCGCCCAAATATATTAACAGGAGCTGTGCGGCGGAAGGCTGGGTTCATAGTCTAGTAAAATGATAATAAGAGTAAAAATATATTAATAAAACAATGTAATACAAGATAATATAATTTGCATTTATAGAGTGTGTTTACCCTGCATTGATGTTTCAACGGCTCACCACTTATGAATGCAACGTTTGAACTTCCAAATAGGCGGATTATAAGACTATCTTTGCTTACGGCGCTTGTAAATCTGGTGTCCTTTGGAAATATTTCTAAAATAAAAAGATATTCCAAGCGACATATTAGTGAGTGAATAAGTGGCTTTTTTTTTTGAAAAAAAAAAAAAAAAAACTTTGACTGGATTAAATAATGTTTTTAAACTCGCTGGGAGAGGTAGAGCTTACCTCCTTTCATCAAAAGGTACTGTACTGCATCGGGGTCTGTTGTAAAAACGGTCCAGTAGAAAGGAAATCTCGACTATGAAACATTTGAATTTATACAATAAATAGAGAAATGTATATAAATTCATATGTTTGTTTGCTTGTTTTTTAGAGATATACTTACGACATAAAAACCGTTATTCTTGTGAAGAAGTGGAAGAACCAATCTCTTTGTCCGGTTCTCTACTGACTCGACGGACAATATTGATTTGACAAAGTAAAAGAAGGGAATATTTGGGAACTTCTTTAACTCATAAGGAACTGCTGTAAAATCATAGACCTTCTTGCAGAAAAACAAGCACATTGCAGCAACCACATAAGATCCTTTGGGTAAATAATCCACAACATTTTTAACAAAAGTTTCAAATGAAAGAAAGATGTTGGTGATGGTATCTATAGAAGAAAGAATGAAAGAAAGAGAACAAATAATGGTTGAGTGGATTGATCCAAACTCAAATATATATAGAGAATAATAATAAAATAATTATGTATAAATTAAGCTTATTAATTTATTATCAGATTTGAGAGCATGCTTAGAGCATTTTATGTATAGACGCCAAAATAGAAATAAGAGCTAGAAGAACTAGAAGAGCTAGAAAGAAATAAGGCGAACTCAAATATTGATATATGTTAAAATTGAAGGCTTTGTTTCATCAACAAACCCCTTGAATCTTAAACCTTGAGCCTTTGTCTATTTACCCGACAGTAGTGCCTACTAGATATTCCCAGGATACTTTAGAGAAGAAGACAATGGGGGTAGGGCGGGATTCGGGAGTCTATTTAACCGGTATTAGATTGTAGCTTTAATATATATATATATAGTCTATAAAGAATGAGAGTGGTTTAGTATAAGCCAAAAAGCAAAACCAAAAGAATAAAGAGCATGGAATACAATCAATAAAAATTGACATATTTAGTCCAAATAAAGTACCCTATAGAAAAAAAAATAGGCGATTTTAGTGAATTGTTGCAAGTTTTCCGGGGTTTAAAGTGTCTTGTAGTTGAATTTTAATTAAACACCAATTTCTCTCTCTCTCTTGTATATTCTACTTTTTTTTTGCAGTCAAAGCAAAACATCTTTTTCTTAGCCTTTTCAACCCGTTACAAAACTAAATACCAAGTTATTCAAATCCAATGGTTTACCAGCGGTAGCTTGGGTGGTTCCTAAGCGGTAACCAGGGCAATTTTTTATCTTCTTTGAATTCTAGTCAGTCTTTGTCTCAAACGACAACCCTCCCAGAGATCTTCTTCTGCTTGTCTTCTGGCACTTACAATCTGAATAACACAGATGAACCTTACAGATATAGTCCCATCATATCTCAGATTGTTAAGTATATGTCGGAAGTTCAGGACAGCAGCAACATCCCAATTACACAAACGATGCATAACCTCTGACCCGTCCATGTTCTCCAAACAATTTAGATTGGTACATCTAAAAAGGACTTGTCAGAATATATGATAATAAAAATTAAGCGTTTATATAATTATCCTTAGGAGACCATGGCGTGTCACAGTTGGCATTTGGATGCGGCGATATGGTCGAGGATTATCGACTTGCTTGAAGGTTTGAAGAGACAGTTGGTAGCACCTTGGGCAGTGTCTAGAGGTAGCATACTCATCGATCAAACAAACATCGAATCCATGTTTGCGAAGTAGCTTCCTCATTCATACACCCTTGATAGGTTCGTGGTATCTATTGTGAGGGGCAGACCAGTTTCCCATAACCAAGACACAATCTTGGCCAAACTTAGCACGAATATATTTGACTAGACGTTCGTTGGCTTTACGTCGGTTGATGTATGAGGAGAGACGAAGCTTGCAGAACAAAGGTTTCTGGCTGATACAACTTACGGTGTTAGTATAAAAAGAAGAGATGATAGAGGAGTTGGCTGCTTTGATTGAAGTATGAAAGGCAAAGTCTGTGATGTTATTGGATCGTCCCGACGTTTGGGAAATTTCATGTTCTACAGCAATAACATTGGGGGTTTGAGCTTTGGTATCCTGAAGAATACGACGAAACTTGGTTCTTTTGAGTCTGATGCTCTGTTGGTTGGAGGTGTACCGGTAACATCTCAGTGTTTCTACCGTAGACTCCTCATGCAGTATAGAAGGTCTCTTCTTCCATGATTGATAAGGACACAACGCCCGCGGATTCTTTTATGCTGTTCTGGGGGCAAGTCATGAATGTAAGGGAAGTTTTCAGGGTTGATTGTGGTGGCCCTTCTGGGATTTGGTCCTTTGGGGGTGTCTTTGTTCTGTTTGATAATGGAAATACCAACACCATCGGTCTGGATTGTTCCTCTGAACTTTATCACGCCATTCTGCTGATCACGGAAATCCTTTTCGTCCAAGACCACCACTATTCCTCACAGCTCTAGCTTATCCGCCCCTTCTGACCAAGTTATTTTCAAGAGTTGCTGGAATAGTATCCTGGTATCAATTTGCATGTAACCTGGTGGCCAGGATCGGCGAAGAGGGAAGCAGTTGAAGGATCTACGTTCAGGGTGTTCTAAGAGTTGGGCCATACGGAAGAAGGCGAGGAAGTGGCTGTGGGGAGAATCTTTTGAGTCATAGTAGATAGAGTCCTTTTGGAACTTGTATCTTTAAGGATATGCGGTCAAGATGGGAGAGATTTCCATGAAGGCTGTTCCGTATCCCTATACAATGAATACATCTTCAAGTCGGTGAGTTGACACTCCTTCTTTGAAAATCCTAGCGGGTTCGAATATATGCTCTGTCAGCATTCTTTTGATTCGCTCCTCGGTTGCTCTTTGGCTACGCAGTTGTTGGGTAAGCTCTCGCTGTCTATTTTTTATATCGAGCAATATATTGATCACTCGGCAGAGATGCTGACCAAACCTCAGCTTGATATTGACTATGTAGGTGGTGTGGATCTTTGTGGCCTCGTACATAGCAATTTGGTGGGCGTTTAGGAGGGAGATGCGGGCGTAGGAGATGTTATGAATATAGGTGTTGATGTGGCGGGAAATGAGCTCACAGTTCAGCCTTGTTATTTCTGTTATTCGGGAGGAGTCGGTGTTCCGGTCGATTAAAGAAAGAAACACCTCGACAAAAAAGGGCTGATTAATCTGTCCATTGAGGTCAAAGAATGGGTCAAGTGCCAGCTCGGCAAGGAAAATGTGCTTGCTTAGTGCGAAGGTGTGGGTGACAATTGTGTGTAATTTAGCGACAAGGACTTGTAGAGGTCTAAGGAGTTCAGGGTTCCACCCCGTTGCCTTTATTGATGCCTTGACAGTAAGGACTCGGAATGGGGTAGCTTCGTTCATTGTCTTCTAATCCACAATGGACCAGATATATGAGGTTTGGGCAGTACTTTTGAAAGTGCCAATTTGTAGTGATGTACTAAGATATTGGGTAAGTATATATGCTGCAGGTCAGTTAATAAATTACTTGCAAGTGTAAAGAACAAAGGTATGTAGAGTTTAAAATCCTTGCCTGTCAATCATGCTGTCTTTTATAGACTTTTATGTATGTGACTTTGACATATGAGAATATAGTAAATAATTGACCGGATAAATATAATGATTGATTGATATAAAGGAGAGCTCCCTAAAGGTATTAATCATTTAATTATTATCCTGCAAATATATCAAAATAAAGTTTAGTTCCTTGTATCTGTATTGTCGTTTTATATTCGTTGTTCTGAACTTTGTGTACCTATCACTAAAAACTTACTGAGAATATGCGTGGGTATATATAATTTATCTTGAAGAATAGTGCATAACCATTGTATTGCTTGCAAACCTTCTTCAAGCCTTTTATCATATGAATTGAATAATAATATTAATATGATTGATTTGAAGGACTTGTAACTTTAATACTTCTAGCAGTTAGGCTTAAGGTGATATTCAATTATCCTTATCTTGGCTTTTAATCCAAAAAGCCATTTTACGCGAATATTGTATGCTAGACTGCTTACAGGTTGCAAAGTTGAATAAAGAGACCAAAATGTCCTACACAATTATGTATTTTTAATCTGAACTTAAAGAATCCTTTGCCATAAAAAAGTAATGACTGTATTACTTTTTAATGCATTGTTGCTTTTTTATTTTGTAAAAGTCTTTCTTATTTCTTTTTTCACAAGGTCTAAATTATTAAAGGTCTTTAAAAGAAACGTACTTAATAGCTATCAAGGCTAGTACTGATAAAATGTAAATCCGTAAAGCTGACAAAAGAAAGTAACTTGAGAAGAATTGACAGAAAAAAAAAACATCTACCTCATGTACAGTTTGGTTGTCAAGATTGTTCGCATGCTCATTAGAAATAATTGATCCAGAGAATTACAGGGAGTCTGTCTTCTGGTTTTTCAAAGTAGGGATCAGGCATGACAATGATAACACAAAGCAGGTTTATACTCTTTGATAAAAAGAATCAATTAAGCCATATACATACCTACATTAATATTATAGTATTTAGAGAATAGCAGTTTTCTTTAGATAAAGAATGTAAAAAGTATCACATAAAAATATATACATGTACATTACTTAATAAATGTATAGCTTAAGCTGCTACTAAATATCATATGAATTGGTACTTCTTCTTTGCATACTTCTTTATGTTTAACTTGTATTATTTTGATCAATAAAAACCATAAAATTCCAATATAAAACATCATGCATTTGTTGAACCAATCATAAAGAGAATAGAATACCTAAAAAAGATATAATTGACATATTTTGAATATTTGATTGGATTAGATGCAAAATAATATAAAATCCCATAAATCGTATTTGACAAAAAGTAAAACTAATAGGCTAAAACAGGCATTCTATTGGCTATAAAAGTTACGAGTTCGTAACTCATTAGGAGGTCGGAGGTATAGATCCTGCCATTTCCTACAGTGATATATATTTCTTTAAAAAAAAAAGCGCAATTTTGCACCAAATCATAACTCATTTTTTTTCTTGAACTAATTTCTTTAATACACACCAGTAAATAAAAGACAACTTTAGATCGTCAAAAAGTTCAAATGTTATTTTATAGAATAAGCACAACTTGAGCATCTCTTTTCGACCTGTATTCAATTCTCATTATGGCTACTATACGCTATATATAATGTTTTTTTTTTAAAATCTAACCGCTGAAGATATTCTTAATGAACCTGAGTATTTGTGCAGAAATAAGAATACACACTTCAAAAGTCTAACCGCTTTCCAAATTTCTGATAAAGGCCAGCAAACAAGCAGTATTTTCACAGTGGCTTGTGTTAAGTAGGTATTGGCAAATTTAATACAAGCCCTTCAGGTCTTGTGTCTATAAAAGTCTTTACTATTATCCACATACTACTAGTATTCCTACAAAAAATGAGTACCTTTTATTATATTTAGTGAGTGAATTTGAAAGGCATGCGTTCTTTTCTTATTTATATATAAAGAGAGAGAAAAGGGGGGATATATTGTGTAACAGAAGGGTAGGTGGGCTTCAAAATCTAGGAAATCTTTATTTCTGTCAAATGAATTCAACTAATTCCTTCCTTGTGTAGTTTGCAGTTGTATGTATATCTAATCCTGTTTGCACACAATTGTGTTCCTGGATGTTGAAACAAGATTACCTTTTTTTTCTTTTTGCTTTCTTCTATTTTACTATTGGTTTCAAATATAGCTTCCTTCTTTATTGCGGGCATTCTTTTTTCTCTTAATTCCGGAAATACTTTGTACACTTTATTAACAAAGAAACCATAGTTACACGACATGGTAATGTACACCCGTGTTTTTATATATATATTTCCATTATAATAATTGATATTCTATATGATAATATAGTATTCATTTTCTTTAAAGAAAATAATATTTAAATTTATTTAGTTATTTTTTTTTTTAAAAAAAAAGAAGAAATGTATTTTCATATTATCTTTAAAAAGAGCGCACCAATATAATATATAAAAAACCAAGGTGAGACATTGTATTTTGTCAATAGTAAGACTACAAGTCGTACAATTGACAAATGAGCTGTACATATTTCTCGGAACCAAAAATAAAAATAAATAAAAGAATAAAATCTCGGGAAGAGAGGAAGAAGATTAAGAAGATGAGATGGCACGGATCAGGCACATTCAACTTATTCATTCATTTATATAATTATTGAACTATTAAATATATCAATAATAAATGTACTAATATTTAATAAGAATAGTAGTGGTAATATTAATATAGATAACTGTATTTAATAGACCTTTTTTATTAAAAAAAAAAGAGAAAGAAAGAAAGAAAGAAAGAAAGAAAGGAAGGAAGTGATGCTATTGACAGGTTTCTCTTTTTGTTTAAAATTGTCAAATATTAAATGTGATATTGATTGTTTGCATTTTCTACATATAATAATAATATTTTGTACGACTGGAACCTTGTGTGGATATATGTATGGGTATGGGTATATGGGCCTGTATGTATCTATGTATGTATGTGCTTGTGTGTGCGTGTGTGTGCGTGAGCGAGTAAGTGCGTGCGTGTGTTCAAGTGTTCAAGTGTTTAAGCGTTTCTGTGTTTGTGTAATTGTATTTTTTTTGTCCAGAACGTACAGGTAGAAATGTAACATTGAGAAAATGGGATGAATTTCCTACAAAAGATGATGAGAAAGGAAAGAAGAAGGGAAGTGAATTGAATTGAAAGGAAAGGTCATGATTTGTGAATTCATTTCCGTTTCATCATGCAAAATAAAATAAAATAAAAGTAAAAATGACACGGCTGAGACAAGCTGGCTACACATATTTACGGCAATGAGCCGAGATATATATATTTGGGCAAGTGTTTCATTACATTATTAAAAGAAAAGGTCCCAATGAGTATATTATATTTATAGTCTATTTTATTGAATGTGATATACATTGACGCCATTGCAGAAAGAAATAAAGGATACAAAAGAAGTACATTACAGGTAAACTACTTGTATTCACTATATATATACTAAGTAGGTAGGTGGATAGACTAGCTCAAAGAGAAGAAAGTGGGTGATAGTTTAGAGCAACTAAAAAAAATGCACTGGATAACTCCTTATTATATTAAAATAATCAATATTTAGTGTTTCAAAATAAAGCATACTTTCTTTCTTTCTTCATTGTAGATTTGATACAGCAACAAGAAAAAAGTATATCAGCCTCAGGCTTGTATTGATAATAATAATTATTATCGTTATTGAGTTGCACTAATAGAAACAATATCACTTTCTACATATGGAATGACACTATATAAAACAACAAATATCTAAAATTATCAAGACACAACACAATGTAAATATATATATATATATATTCAACCAACCAAATTGAGAGATAGAGAGAGAGAGAATAGGCTTTCTTGACTCTATTATAAAAACAAATTGTATGAGTGATTATTATGTATTGAATTTCGTTAATTTCTGTTGTTGTTTGGTCTCTATATAATTCAGTGGCTTCAATGGCTGGATGACTCTAGCAACAAAAATAAAACAAAATATAAACATTCACATTTACAAATACAAATACAAATAGAACCAGAACCAGAACCAGAACCAGAACTAGAAAATTTTCAATAAAAGAATAAGAATTTGCCAAGCCTTGTTTATGTAGATGTAATTAGATGATACTTTTTATATGCATAAGAAACAAAATAGAAACAATGATTGTATCTGTTTTTAGTTCATGATCTGTACATCTAATGCAAGGGCTCTTTTTGTTATTGTAGTGTGAATCTGTAGCTATCAATATAGGTAAATTTGGCTTTTTCTTCTTATTATTCATCATCACAATCATCATAATCAGTATCAGCATCATTATAGACTTTTGCTTTTGATTCTGCATACATAGATATATAGATACATAGATACATAGATACATACATATTTATTTACTTTGTATGCAGGAGCGCATTGCATATGCCCATTTATTCCAATCACTTTAAAACACTGATATTATAATACTGAAAAGAAATTCACTAAACATAGTTTTTATATAAATATATCTTTGTCTTTTTTTTTGGGCTTTCAAGGTTAAAGGAAATCCCTGGGTTTATGGAAGATTCAGCCGAAACATAAATTAGCAATAATCATAAACGACTTTTATTTTATTTTTTCTTTCGTATTCTATACCTCTCCCCCCCCTTTTTTTGTCAGAATAATATATACATATGTGTAAATTGTGTAAATGGCGGCGTCTTTTCATGTTTTATTATTTTCATATCTTTCTGGGGTGTGGGAATGATCGATCTACTGCGGTCAATTCAACTCAATGCAATCTCAATTTGATTCAATTCAATTCCATGCTATCTTTATTTCTAATTTTTATTGGTTCTCTTTA